TAAGAAACGTCGCCTTGTTTCCCGTGTTCTAACAAGAGCGACAGAGACTCTTAAAAAGGACTATATTCATCTGGGCTATCCTATCACTAAACCAAAGTGGGGTCGCAAAGTGGAATTCTATAGCTCCTAACGCTAAAAAACCGTCATATAAAGGAGGGCAATTATCATACGCTTTCGGTTGAAGTAACTAGAAAGGGTTTCTATAATATCTAGGTTAACTGAGCGTGGTTTGTGGGTGCGAAGCACACAGTTGCAACAAAGCGCACAGACGCAACAAACCCCCCTCCATATCCCCCCAAAACGGATCATATGGTTGATGCGCTGGACTAACACGGGGGCCCGATCGGAGCACGGCAGGCGTTATTGGGAATATGCACTCACACCGTGTCAGCCACCTGCACCTGATCCCGCCTCCGGTCTTCTTGGCTCTGTCTGGACAGCGGGCATATTTGGTGCGGGAAGAGGGAGTGCGGTAGATGCTGCGCAAGCCTACTATCACCTAAAACTAATCTAGCGTAAGTCACCGTCCCTGCATCGCCTAGCTGTGGAGCACACGGTGGACATCGTCGGAAGCGACGCTCAATTTGTCGAGTGCGGTACGCAACAGGTGTAGGCAGTCGCCACGTCACCTACCCACAGGTGCATGGGAGAGGGAAGACAGAGTGAGGTCTCTCCTGGGAGTTCTTCATGAGACGCTCGAACCTATCACAAAGGGTTAACAGTAGTGACCTGGAAAGTTACCAACTGACGATAAAACTCCAGGCCTCACAATACTGAGAGTCGGGACACAAGGACTCTTTACAGTGACATTTATGACGTTGTCACTTGGGTAGAATTTGTGAACCCAGAAAAAGAGCGTTGTACTTGTGGATTTAGGGACCTCTTCGAGTGTGAAATAAGTGTACGGGCCGTTTGGACTCGTCAACTACTATGCCCACGCCTACCCCAAGTGGTGGGGAAAAGTGATTATTGTGACGCTGATGGCCGCAGCCGATAACGACGTACAGACGCGAGTACTTGTAAATTTGAGTCACCAGAAAAAGCAGCAAGGTCGCATCGAACTCGAATGGGGAGAAAGCAAACGTGCGATACACCGAGGGTGCAGGCGTGGTGCCACCATTGCCCGTAATTAACCTGAATCGGACATGCCACTGATACACGAGTGGAGGGGCAGGAGTGTGTGACGCTGCCGAGGCTATAGTGACTATAACATACTTAAGCTATTGCGGCAACCTAAAGACTTCAACCTAACGGAGTAACTGGATCTCACATTTTTCAGATGCCCTGGTGTCAACATTCATTGCGATGTAGTTCGTGTGAAAGAAGCTGGGTCTGCGTGACATTAACGACAACGACGAGGGAGAGCGGAATATCCTTTTCTGGCTTATTAGCTGTCATCAGCCAGCCATGCCCAGCCCCGGGGGGTGGCGACTCCCCGAGGCTCGAACCCACGACC